GCTGTGAGTCTGTATCCATGAGCCTAGACCTGTGCTGCATGGTGTTTGGGCTCACCCCTGAACTCCATGAAAAGACAAAGAGCTTCCTGTTCAGCACGGTTACTTTTCACTTCCACTTTGCTCTGCGTGGGGTCTGTCTGGCTTTAAAACAGGGAAAAAGGGAGGCTCTGGGTGCCTGCATGTCTCCAAGCTGCAGGGTAACATGCAAGGACCAGTTTTGAGTGTGGTGAACACAGCTTCAAGCTCAGTGCCTTGGTGCTCACCTTTGACCCCAAAGGCTGGGAGCTGAGTGCTCTTGCCCTGAGCAGTCACAGCAACTGCTGCTGCCACCGGCTGAATTTGATTCTCCTTTTCCTGCCTGATTTGAATGTGCAGCTTTGGCCACCAGCAGGTAGGTGGGGCACCCTTCACCATCTGTCTGGATCATCCAGCTTGGGGCTGGATTTAGTGGTGCTGGGGAAGTACAGCCAGGCAAGGGAAGACGTGTTTAAACAAAGGAGCAATGCTATTGGCCACATGTGGCACAGCCCCGAACCAGAGGACAACGGGCCTTGGCACAGAGCATGGATGCGTGCTGTCGGCTTCTAGAGCATTACAGGAACTGAGAATTTTTGCAAAGATGCTTAACTGTGGATGAAATGAACAGAAAAGTGCCCCCAGGGCTTTTGGTGTGACCTCTTCCACAGCCAGAGCTGTGTGGGGCCCAAGCAATGGGAGTTTTATCCCTGAAGCCTGTCAGATGTAGAAGTGCTCCGTCAGCTTACCTAGGCTTAAAGGGAGGATAAAAACAGGTGAGGGGAGTCTCGTCATGGCCAAAGGATGGGGTTATCCAGGAGAAAGGGGGTTTGTGGGGAGAAACATACTGAAATTGAGAGTGCTGCTTAAAAACAGCACAACCACCTGCTGGAAGCTGCACTAGGAGGCCATGGGAGTGGAGCCCCCGGGGAGGCTGGGCAATGTCTGCTCAGGTGGTCTGTCCTAGTTCAGAGCCAACCACTGGCTGGTACCATGCCTCTCCTGTTCTCGCACCACCTTGCTTCAGCGTCTTGGAGAAGATGCTGCCAGCTCATGGGGCTGTGCTGCTGCTCTGCAATGCATTTGCTGTCAGCCACCTGGGGAGGGGAAAAGGACTGCTCTGCAGTGGGAGCTCTGCAGGACTCACAAAAGCTTTGCCAAGCTCTGTCAGGGGGTGGGCTTTGTCCCTGCTGGTGGCAGAGGGGTGGTGGTGCATGTGTCCCAGCTCCTGGGAGCACAAGGTTTCCCTGCCTCCTCTCCTGATCACAATTTAATTAGCACAATTAAATCCTGCAGGAGGATTGGAATCCCTCCTCTGTCTCCTCTGGGACCTGGCTCCTGAGGGGGACAGCCCCCATGGGAGCTCCAGGAGCATCTGCCTCTGCCCTGGAGCAGCATATGGAGGCTGAGGGTAGCCCCTGAGAGGGAGCTTGCTTGGGTCCCTTCTTTGCTGCCATGAGTGGCAGCTCCTTGTCCTGCCCCTGTGGCCCTACAGCCATGTCTGTGGTGCCTCAGCCCTACAGCTTGGACCTACCAGGGTCCATACAATACCCTCAGGGCTGCAGCCCAGACTGGTGTGTGCAGCATGGGGGCCAAGGCACTGGAGCTTAGAGCCTGTGCCCGGCCCCAAAGTAGGACTAGAGGGAATGGCCTCAAGTTGCGCCAGGGGAGGTTTAGGTTGGAAATGAGACATTTCTGCTCAGAAAGAGTGGTGAGGCATTGGGACAGGTTGCCCAGGGAGGTGGTAGGGTCACCATCCTTGGGGTGTTCAAGGAGAGGTTGGACGTGGTGCTTAGGGACATGGTTTAGTGGGTGACAGTGGTAGTAGGGGGATGGTTGGACCAGATGATCTTGGAGGTCTCTTCTAACTTTAATGATTCTGTGATTCTAGTGGGGCCCCCTTCTGCAGCACCCCAAATGTCTCTCAGCCGCTCTCATGCCACCAGAGGGCAGGCACAGCCATGCTCCTTGTGGCCTCAGTCCCCACAGCCCCACCACGAACCTGGGCCAGCTGCACTGGCTGCTCCAGCTGACATCCCTGCCCCATGGCAGCCCTGTCAGCATCGTCAGCCCCTGCTGGGGGGGTTTTGCCTGCCATCCGGGGCAGAAGGCCTCCAAGGCTCTCTAAGAAGTGCTGGGTCCCCGGGTAGCCCCCACCAAGAAGCCCCCTTCATCACCCCAGTCCTGGCCACAGCACCCCCCTGCCCGCAGCCCCTCCTTACCCACTCTGGCCTCCATCCTTTTGGCATCTTGGCTAGACTTGCCCCCCTGCCCATGTCGTTTGTGTTTTTGGAGCCCCAAAGGGATGCAGAACCCTAAAATGGGGTCCCCCCAGTAATTGGGGGGGGTCTGAGCCCCTTCCCCAGCCGATACCACCTGCACCAGGGCAACCACAGCCCCTGTGTCTCCCATCACAGTGCACACCAAGGAGTTAATATTTTTTAAAATACTTTATTTTTCTCTCAATACTGACATTATCAAAAACAAAAAACAAACAAACAACACTATAAAACATTCAGATCGCATTGAAACTGAGAAAAATAAAGCAGCTTGCATATATGTGCTGACCTGTCTTCTCACTCCATCAGTGTCCACCAGGTTTCCATACATACAACGCCACAGGAAACAGTGGAGGGAAAAGGTGTTGTGCCCTAACCTGAATTCAAACTGGTCACAAAATTAAGTAGTGCTTTAATTTAATTTAAGAGGTCTCCTCTCCCTGTGCCCTGGCCGTGGCACAGGCCATCCTCCTGCTGCGTATGATGCACTGTACAACTATATAGCCCCTGCCAGCTTGGCAGGCTACTTGCCATAAGCTGACACACACACACTCCGGACCCCTATTTCAAGTCAGTGATTTCTCTTTATAAAAAGGATGCCCGGGGGGGGGGGGGGGGGGGGGGGGGGGTGTTGGTTTTGGCTATCTCGGTGCCAGTTGGGCTGGAGATGCAGAGCTGAGGTGGTGGAGGAGCCATACAGAGCTAGGTCAACTGTGCTGTGTGCTCTGCAGGACCCCTCCTGGGAAAAACTGGCAAGAGGCAGAGTTGACCAAGAAAGGTAAGAAATATAAAAATTCTCCTGATGGAAAGCCAATTTTTAAAAAATACAGCATTTAAAAAGAAAATCACCAAGCAGATTGCCTCATGCTCCTTCCAGTTCCACCATAACACCCAGAAATACCTCCTGAATTAAATGTCCCTGTAGAAAAATATATACATATGAATTTCTCTTCCTAATAAAATCTCTAAGGTTGAACTCAAACACTTGTCAAAAACTACAGTTCTGCTGACGCTTGGCTCTGCTTTTGCGCCCAGACTTGTGCTACACACATACTATGTTCTCACAGGCATGATGTTGGTATGGCTGAGCTTTTCCCCAAAAGTCGGGGTGAACCACTCCAGGAAACTCAAAGCGAGCAGAGCAAACCCTTTTAGAGTTTACCTAGCAAGCTAAATATATGTATTTAAAAAAAAAAAAGCAACAATGCAAACTCAACACATCTGAACAAGAAAGCTCCCACCCTGAGCTCCCCCATCCCTCCAGCCAGCAGCAGGCATAGGGGTCAGTGGGGGCAGGAGGCTGGAAGGGACAGTCCCCAAGTGCTTTGATCTCCATTGATTGGCACAGGTGATGCTCGGTGGTGGTCTTGGCACACGAGTGGACTGAAGTAGGACTAGGTACCATGGTCCCTGGTTAGAAACAGTCCAGCTACAGTGGCCACCACATACAGGAGTAGTCCTTTTAGCCGTATGCGCTCAGGAGTTTCCTTGGCACGTTGGTATGGACAGGACCCCTAACAGCAGCAAGTATCAAAGAGGGAAGGAGAAAACTAACACAGGGAATGTGAGATACTGTGAAGTCCTATTTACACTGCGCTTAACCCCTACGAGCCCATCCTCTAGTCAGAAAGTTGGCTTGAAAAGCAGGTGACACAAAAACTACACAGTGATGCACCTCCCTGGCCAAACAGCTGCTCGCTTGTGCAAGACAGCAAAGCTGGACCTCTAGAAAAACAAAACCAAAAAAAAAAAAAAGAAGCTGGCAGTGAGGAGAGCTGCGAGGGCAGGAGTCTGTGCTCACCATTCCCCCGCCACTGGAGTAGAACATAGGCTGAGAGGGGAAGGGGTGGGAAGGGAGGAGGGGACTTTTGGGGAAGGAAAGTGTTTTTTTTGGCATTTGAAAGTGCTCTGGCACCTCTGCTCCATGTGGGCCGGATGCTGTGGCATGTGCGTTTGGAGTATTGCTGTTTGGAGAAGAGTCTCCGAGGCTCTAGGAGCACGGGAGGTGCTGCTTGAGGATCTGTCTCGTCTGGGGAGCTATTCTGTCTGGGAAGCGGATTTTGAACTCCACAATTAAGTCTCCTCGCTGGTTGGGGGCCTTGGGGAAGGGCAGCCCTTCCCCACGCAGTCTCTTCACCGTGCCTGGCTTGATGATGTCATTGCAGGGCAGTGGGATCACCCTCCCGTCGATGGTGGGAATGTTCACGGTGCAGCCGCACAGGGCCTGTGGGGTGAAGGAGTGAGACACTGTCAGCTGGGCTGCCAGCCCCATAGCACCCAGGGGTGCACCTAGTGAGACCTCCACCCCCCGCTCCCAGTCCCCAGCGCTGTGGGACAGAAGCCCCACAGGAGGCAGGATCCTCACTCCCCATCCCCTGCTCCTCCCAGTGGATACCAGATGCCTCCAGCTAGCACCCTGCAGCTCGCATTAACAGGGCAGCCCAAATTTAGCCCTTTGCTACCCAATCTGAGAGCCTGGCGGGGGGGGGGGGTGTGTGTGCAGCCAAAAACCCATCTGAGCTCATGGGATGCCTTTGCGGTTCAACTGTCACCCTTCAGAGTCCGGGGGTTATCTATAGCACAGCCTGTGCCCCCCATCCCAGCCAAAGCCTCCTGAAGGTTATGCTGGCACAGGCCACAACACTGTGCTTTCCTGGAGGCTGGGGCCCCACGGGGCAGCTCCCCCCTGCCAGTCCCTTGTCAGGCAAAGGGTTGGGTTACTGCACTGCGCTGCTATCCCTGGCTATTTTTATACCTTGGTGGCCCAAGAAGGAAGCAAGAATGCAATGTTTCCCCGAAACTGCAGGCTTGGGGAGAATGGCCCAGGCATGCCCTGCATCCCTGCTGCAGGGACCTCCACATAGCCACATCCCCCCACTGCAAAGCCAGGAGATGATTTTCCAGGCTGCCATCCCCATCCCAGGGCCAGGCACTGCCTCCTGCAGAAGCTGGCAGCAGCTGCAAGCCAGCCTGCATTAGTGAGCCATGTGATGCAGGAATGCAGCAAGAAAAGCCTTGTGTCCTTAAATAACTCAGTTCTGCTGTACACGTGGGCAGCAGCGTCTCCAGGCTTTCAGCAAGGAGAGAGGCTGCTGATGATGGAGGACTGCAGAGCAATACTTCTGGAAGGGGAGGATTTGCTGTGGATGGTGCAAGCTGGTCCTGTCCTGCACACAAAGCACCTGTCCCCTTGGCCTGGGGCATGGGGGGTCCCAGCCCTCCTGTCCCCAAAAGATACCCTGCAAGGGAAGCGGGGGAGGATGTTCTGCAGCCTCCTCCCCAGGAAAAGCCTCCAGTGCCAGAGCAACAGGAGACAGCAGCAGTAGCAACCCTTCTTCCCTGCTGACCCCTGGCTTGAGGCTGAAGGCTGCTGCTTCTGCTGCAGTGCCAGGGCTTTGCACCAAAGCAAACACAGAGCCACCCATGCTGGGCTTGGCTCTAGGGCTCAGGTGAGCTGAGAAGAGGAAAGCTGGAGCCTGCTGTCTCCTTGCACATCTCATCTGTGCTGGGTCTCCTCCCAGACAAGCTTTTTCTGGCAGCAGGAGGAGGTTCATCGCTGGCTCCGTGTGAGCAGGGGGTGCATGGTTGCAGCTCTGGCAGGTTGGAGGGAAGGGAAGGTTGGAAGGAAGGGATTATTCCAGGGATGCTGGAGCCCTTCTGCTGGCTGGTACCCACCACCATGCGACATAGTGGGCTGCACAGGTACACATGCCAGGAAAACATCTCTGGCCATAAAATAAGAAGCAGAAAGGGAACAGGTACAGCGGCTAGACCTCAGGTTTCCAGCCAACAGGACCATCCAACTGTCTTTTTGCCTGTAGCAGAAAAAAAAAAAAAAAAAAAAAGAGAGAAAACTGATGTGCTGCCTTTGCTCTGGAGGAGGTTTTGCTGCAACCCCATGGACCTGCAGAGTGCAGAGGGTGACCACTCCCACATTGTCCCCTGCTCCATCCTCACCATAATGTGGCCAGAGAGAAGCCAGGCAACTATTTCGGATTCCAGAATGAGCTTTTAAGACCAAAGTAGGCCAGCACAAGCGTGGCTGGGACACTTGCACCCAGCCCAAGGGACAGGACTGGGAATACCAAGCAGAGAGCCCCTGCCAGGCTCGTGGCATGGGCACTGCTCCTCGGTGCCATGCTTGCCCTGCAAAAGCAGAGGGACACAAGCAGATGCAGGCAGTAAGAGCGCATACAGGATCTCAGTGTTTCCTTCTTAGAGCCAAGATGCAAGAATTAGAGGCGATTGCTCCTTCGTCGTGTGTTCCTGTTTTTAATCCTTCTCGCCCAACTTTGAGAAACTGGTTGTTGAAGCAACACCGGTGCCTGCGAGCGAGAGCCTGTAGCAGGGCGATGCACAGTGAGCACAGCTGCAGGAGCTGCCCTGCATCCTAGAAAGAGGCTCGTTTATCCCTGGGTATGAAATGAGCATGGGTTTGGTGGCTGAGCCACGAGTGCCATGCTTTATCTGGGTCAGTGGTGGGTCCCACTCTGCTGACAGTAATGGGGGGGGCAGCAGATGCTGCCACCTGGATGCTTCAAGGAAGGTGACACAAGGTAAAGAATGCCATGAGGTGCCTCTTCCATCTCCGTGAAACCCTTCAGCGCTATCTGAAGATCTGCCTTCCAGGAGCACAGCTGCTGTAGCAGTGTCACTGCTCCCTCCCTTGGCCTCCCACTGCGGTGCGCGCCTGTAATTTTAGGAACGGTCACATCCCTGCAGCCCACAAGTCTCTTGGGGAAGCCTTCTCACACCTCCTGTGTCAGCAGCAGCCCTCCCTGACAAGGGACATGGAGCCCGGTGGGACAAGGACGCGAGTGCCCTAAGTACTAGGACGTGGGGATGGGAAGATTGGCAGCCTGGCCACCAAGGTGGCATCACCCAGCACTGCTGGAGACAATATGGGTTAGAGGTTTGTGGATGCTGGGTGCTACAGGTTCCTATGGAAGAGTAGTCTGGAGAGCAGGCTCAGGTTTGAGAAGGGGCCATAAGGAAGCGAATGCTGCATTTCCAAGCCCTCCTGCCACCCTGTCCTGCTCTGGTGCCTCAAATGCTCCCTGCAGGGCTGTGGCCAGGAGCCTTGCTCCCCTTAGCTGCAGGACGCTGGCCAGGGGTCTCCAGCATGACCACGAATGGGATCACAGCTCCGAACGCCTGCTGGCACCCGGCTGTGCAGCTAAGGAGACCAAAGCTCAGGCTAAAAAAGGCAGACTCGCAAGGATGAACAGTGCAAGGAAAGCATTCAAAGCTACGGCTGTAGGCTTCGGTGATGAAGAGGTTGTACTGTGATTCACTCCGCCACATACCGAGATGGCGGCATATGGTGTCGGGGAGCTCCTGGCATCTGCTCCTGCTTCAGAGCACTTAAGCTATTTCTTCTCATGGAAGATAAAAGCAGCAAAGCACTGCTTGCCCTGCCCTGGCAAGCGGAAGGCTGGGGCTGGCAGCCAGGCCAGCAGCTCTCTGAGCATCCCCAGCACGTTCAGTTTGCAGTGAGGGAGCGCAGATAACAGGAAGCCCAGCTCAAAGAGCAGAGGAATTTGCCTGCACCAGCAATTTCTACTGGTCTCTCTTTGTGACTGCCATGATGTGAAGCAAATGCCCTGTTTACAGGCAGCTGGACAGAGATCACAGGTGTCCTGCGGGCAGGAAGCAGCTGGGTACAGCTCGGCACAGCACAGCCAGTGCTTCCCCTGGCCTGGCACCAGTGCATGGGGCCAGGCAAGCTGCTTAGCTTGCTGCTCATGGGGCAGCTCCACGTGTGGCGCACATCAACCTGGACCAGCATGGGCCAGACATCCTGGGGGTAATTTTAACAGATACGGGAATGCACAGAAGGAAACATCTGAGATATGGCATGCAGGACTTCATAAATAATACAGCCTCCCAAGTATTTCTGGAGAGGCCAGCAGAGCCAGCCCCTGCAGGAATAAACCTCTTTACTCGAATCCCCTTTGCAACACAAAGGAAATTCAACTCTCAAGACTACAGGTTAACTTGAGATGAGTTTGTTTCAGGAGCACCCAGCTCTGCCTGCCCCATGGGGTTGCCCTTGCCCCCACCATAGCTGGTCATAGCCCTGGCAGGGATGTGGAGCCCTTGCAAAGCCCTTCTGACTTGCTGGCACACTCAGGAGCTCACATTTCCCTACCTCAGGTCTGGCCCGTTGAGCTTATTTCTATTAAACGTATTTGAGAACATAAATCTGTCTTCAAAAAAAAAAAAAAATCAGCTCATTAATAAGATAGACAGTGTCTACAGTCTGAAAGGAACAGCAAATGGCAGCTGCCAAAAACGTCAATATTAAATGCAGCTGCCAGCTGAGATTTATTAAAAGGTAGTTAGACAGCAGCAGCAGCAAACAGCACATCTTGTTCTTGGGTAAGCTCCCCTTCCTCTCCCACCTTCACACGGTTTGCTGCTCTGGTGCAGCGAGTGTCACCATGACCTCCAGGACTGACAGCCTGGATGTGCTGGGTTTTGTTCACAGCCTGAAGATTTTGCCCTTTGTTCAGGGAAGCCAGAACCAAAGAAAGCAGCCATTCGGGGCTAAAGCAGTGCTCAGCAAGGTCAAGGTATCACCTTTCTCTGTGTGACCCTGCTCTCATGTGGGGTGGTGCCTGGCATCATCCAGGACAGAAACATGAACAAGCAGGGACCAGACTTGTGTCAGCAAACTTGGGGTTTCCCTTGCTCCTACAGTGCATCTGAGCTCTCCTCCACATGTGAATACCCTATGCTACAATAGAAGGGCAAGACATATGGGGAAGGGAGAAAACGGGTAAATACCACCTGTATTTGCTCAGGCAGCCCAGTGTGTTCAGTCAGGACTGTAGTACCCGTGTCCTACCTGCAGCATAGAGGCTGAGTGACTCTCCAAAACTGAGCACGAGCTGCTCTCTGTGGCTCCTCTCTGCAGAGGACTTTGCTCATGTCTCTCACACCCTACCTGGTCCTTCCTTTTCAGCACAGGACAAGGACTGAGTCCTGTCCTGGCCACAACCCAGCGTCACTTCTCACCCAGGGCATTTCCACTGACACCCACCTCTTTAAGACTGATGTTTGCAGTGTAGACCATGTTCGTCCCATCTCTCTTGAAGTGCGAGTGAGGTTTGTCCTTGAGGATGAAGACGATGTCAGCAGGGATGTTGTCCGGCGTGGCATCCCCTTCTTTGGGGAATGTGATTTTGGTTCCCTCCTTCCAACCCCGTTTGATGACAATGTTTAGGATCTTATCCTCAGTCCGCATGGTCCGGCCATCAGCGTTGAGCCTTCTGCGGGTGATCTTCATTCTCTTGGTGGAGCCATGGTAGATCTCTTCCAGGGACACCTTCAGCTCGTGGATGATGGGCGGGTCTTGGACCTTCCTCCGTGTGTGCAGGGACTCCTGGTGCCGCCGGTGAACCCCATTAATGCCGTTGAAGCCAAACCGGCTGAAGGCACTGAAAGGATCATCATCATCATCGATATCCATGTCTTCCTGGTCAAAGCCATTGAACACCCGGGAGCGGCTGCTAGCAAAGAAAATATCAAAAGGGTTGGAGCCTCCAAAGAAAGATGCAAAGGTGGCATGGGGGTCTCCATGGAAGGTGTAGTGGAAAGCGTTCCCTGAGCCACCTGAAGAGCCACCTCCAGTCTTGAGACCTAGAAGAGAAGGGGGAAGATGAAACATTAACACTCCTTACCAGAAGAAAGCTGCTGGCTCTGCACAATGGTACTGTGCTGGGACCCACAGCACCCTTGCTTTCCATGCAGCAGCACGGGCTCTACTGGCTCCAGGCAGCCCTTTCAGCAGCTCCCAGAGGTTCTGGTCACCCACCTGTGGGCCAAGAAGGCACCACCTCAACTCACAGCACACAGCCCTGCCTGTACGCCCAGCAAGTTCCAGCTCAAAAGCTGTTCAGGTTTTGTTTGGTTACCTCCTCTCAAGCCATGGCCTTTTCATCTAACTCATTTCCTAATGCATCCCTGCAATGGGATGGTGCATGGCAGAGAAAGCCACCAGTAGCTGGGGCTGGAAGGCGAGTGCAAGAACTGGAGCAGGTCCTTCTGCAGGCCTTTGCTGCTGCAGATGCCTGCTGATGAGGACTCACACCTGTTCAGAGAAGCCCCGTGCGTTACAGGAGAGCAAGCATCCCGCCAGACTTTTATTGGCCACTCCAAGCTGCACGTGCTGATCTGCCACAGTCAATGCACTGGGTCTGTGGTATCCAGTTGTGCTGCACAAAACCCACTTTGGGTGAGTTATCTGTTCTAGCAGCCAGGGTTCTAGCAGCCCAATTCACAAACCAACAGAAGAGTTTGAGGCTTGCACCTTCTAACAGCCACTCCCAGGCAGAACTGCCCTGCCAGGTGCTGGGCAAAGCCTCACACCACTGTGAGCCCTGCAAAGTCCCAAGCAGCCAAGGCATGCCCCAGGTAGCCCCCCCAGAAGAGGTCACACCTGCAGAACACCCTCAGTGACCTAAAAGGGGGAATGAGAGAGCGGTTGTGGAGTCTAGCTGCCCAGCACGGTAAAACCACACCACAGTCCTTATGGGCTGTCACTTGTGCCACCATCCTCCCTGCTGGCAGCAGGGAGATACAAGGGGGACAAACAGAGTGGACAAATGTGGGGGTCTGTTCTGATGTTCTCAGCCTCCTCATGTGGTCCATGGCTCTCATCCTTTGGCCCCTGCCCTGCTGTACAAACGTCTGTACCCTTGCAGAGCCTGTGCTGCATGTGGGGACTGGGCTGTAGGGCAGGAGGAGCAAATCCCATGAGCCCACCCCAGTGCATGGGACCCCAAAGACCCTCAAAACACTGACCCCTCCACCCCCAGGCGACGTATTCCAGAAAACCAAGCATTTGCTGGAAAATGAAAGGTTTCCCACTGCAGGAATGCTGGACTGGTGTGGAAGTCACTGCTCGGGATAGGACATGTGGCAGTCCCTGTCCTGCCATGGGTCAGGACACCTCATCAGCACGTCCAGCACCCTCTCTCCGCTATGAAACTTTTCCACATCTTTCACATTTCTCAGCACCCTGACTTTCTGCACAAGCTCTCTGGACACCACTGGCTCTGCCACCGTGTCTGGCTGCTCACACAGCTGGAATTATGGAGAAACCTGGGCAGGGGAAGGTGGCCTCCCCTGGCCTGAGGGATGGGGCACGCTCTGCACAAGAGGATGGATCACAAAAGGAAGAGGCCAGGTGCATGATTATGGGCCAGCAGGGAAGGAGCTATTTACTGGGGAGCTCCAGGATAACTCAAGAGTGGCTACAAGTCACAAAGAAATCCAGGCCCTGCTCTTGCTTGGGGGGCAAAAGCCCAGAGACTACCAAAAGCATGGAGTGGAAGGGGAAAGGACCGAGGCTAAGACAACCGGCACTGCTTGCCAAAAGCATCGAAGGGGTTTGGTGTTGCTGGTGCATGAGCCCCATGGGGCAAGTGCTGCAATTTCTCCAGACAACCCCATGCCCCTTAAGAAGGACCAAACTTGATGTTTTTCCTGTTTTGGGTAATTCAACCCAAACTCTGGTCCTGTCTGTGGCCCTGGAACCAGGGATGGAGAGGCAAGGCCTGCTTCAAGCCCAACCTCCCCATCCCGCTGCAACGAGGTGGCTGCTCCTCTGCATTTATTTTTTCCTTACTACTTAACTCACTCTTATTTTAGCCATCGTCATCCCTGGAGAGCCCCCATCCCCAACAGGCTGCAGCCAGGAGGTTTCACCTTTACACAGTTGCCTTAATCCCATTATGCCAGTCAGAGGCCAATGCAAAGACAGGGTCCAATTTCGGCAATGCCTCCAAGGAAATGCTAGTTTCTCACTTGAGATAGCCGCTTCTAATTTTAAACAGCACCAAATCACTGTGGCTCGGTGCGTCCCTTGTGGCGGTGACATAAATAATGGGTTAAGGAACTCATATAGGCAGAGCATGCGCTGCCAGGCAGAGATTTTCCAAAGCTTCGCCCAGCTCTGTAGTTTTGCTCAGATAAACCGGGAGGGGCCTGTCAGCTTCTGGGTGTGAAAGCACCCAGCTTGCTGGGCACACAGGAGGGGCTGCATCTTCCACTGAGCAGCCTGTCCATAGCTGACCTGCTGCTCTTTCAAGTACCCAAGTACCTGGCTGATTAATGCAGATGCTATTCAGTGCTCTCCTCACCTTAAGCAAATAGGGTTGCAGTCTTCCATATTTGAATAATAAGGCTGTGTGCGGTGGAGCTGCTCTCCTCCTCCATGCCAACCAGGAGACAACAGCAGCCACTTAGTTTCAAAACAAAAACCTATTATTTAAATTGGGAAAAGCTTTGATTCATGTAGGTCAGCCTGTACCGGGGAGAAAAGTGGGACTAGCACACTAGCACACTACCAGGGATCCTGCGGGGGGACATCCAGGAAAAAGGGACGTTACTGGGCTGGGAAATTTAGGCCAAGTAAAGGGTTGCTAAAGCATTATCGCAGTGTGCAGGCACGACCCAGGAGGCGAGCTTCTTTTCACTTCCATCACCTCAGCGCTCGCCCTTTGGAGGCAGCACTGTGGAGCTCTCAAGTGCCATCTCCCCAGCTGGGAAGAGAAGCAAAAGTGGCTCCACTGTGGCACAGCTGGCAGAGAAATGGGTTGGGACACTATTTCTGGCAGCGAGGCGAAGCAGGGTCAGTGGAGTGTTTGCTCTCCCCACTTTTGCTCCTAGTAACCTTGATTCGGAGGCAGGCATGAGCCCTGGGGGTGCAAAAACACCCCCTCACCCCATATGAACCTCCTTGGACCCACACAGACAGCCACCAGGATGCCTCTGTGCCTTGGCCAGCCCTGCCTCAGAGCAGGAGCACAGGTCCCCTTACCTTCCTCCCCGTACTGGTCATACACGGCTCGCTTCTTGGGGTCACTCAGGACATCATAAGCCTCTGCAATCTCCTTGAACTTCTCCTCGGCATTGGGGTCTTTATTCTTATCAGGGTGGTACTTCAGGGCCATTTTCCGGTAGGCTTTCTTGATTTCATCCTCATTGGCTCCAGATTGGATGCCCAAAATCTTGTAATAGTCTTTCCCCATGACGGCGACGCTGCCTGGTGCTGAGTACTTATTCCTGAAAGCAGAAAGACAGCTGGCTGCAAGGAGAGCATGGCACTCGGGCAGCCGGAGATCAGAGCAGCACACACTTATCGCAGAGCTGCCTCTCCCTGCATCACACTGGCCAGCAGCAACACAGCCAGCTCAAGTCCATGTTTTCCTCCAAGGGGCCCAAGCCAAGCACAAGGACATGAAGCGGCAGTGGAGGGACACGTTAGCGTGGCAGGACCTGCATGTCCCTGGGCTCTGCCTTTGCCTCCCCGAGCTCCAGGGTGTGGAGAGTCATCCTGGACGGGGACCACCAAGGCATTGCGCTGGGTTATTATAGGGGCAAGGCTGACATCAGGTGAGGCCGCTTGGAGGTATGACGGTCTAAATTCAGCTGTCCCGTCCCCCCCACAACCTCCTACTGGCCGCCTCCTGGGGCTTTGCCAGCCCAGAGCAAGGAGAGGAGAGACTCGAGGGGCTGGGGGAGTGGCAGCGCAGATGAAGAACCAGCAGGGATTGTGCCACTGTGCTCACCTCAAAGGAACTTCAAACATTTTGTTCCTGAAAGCAATTGGCATTCAGCTGGAGATAAGTGCTTCCAGCATGTCAGAGCTGTAATTTGTATTTAGCAGAGAAAGAATGAAGCCATTAGACAGAAACATCTTGTGATGGTGGGAGGTTTTCTTTTTTTTTTTTGGCGGAGGGGGGAACACTTTCTAGCCTGACTTGCACTCCCTTAGAGTCTTCAACTAAATGTTGCAGTAAGCCAGAAATATTAAGAGGTGGTAAAATGTCATTGCAGCCTGACACAACGCAGTGAGGTCAGCACAGGCAACCAGCTCTGTGCATTCACTTTCCCCATCATGTGGGAGGCTTAGGACAAAGCCATGCCTATACTAAGGCATTGAAAACCCAGTGGCCGAAACCCAAAGGGAAAGGGTGGGTAATTAATTCACTCCATAGGCATGCTGCTGGAGCAGCAAACCCAACAGAGTCATGGAAATTCAGAGAGCAGCTCGAGGAGACATGAGACCAACTGCTCGGGGCAAAAGCTGAGCAAGACTTAAACTCCTTAAAACACACTTCCCACTGCTCCTTACCCTTCAGTTTTCCAACTGTGAGCTCCAACCTGCTGAGCCCAACCTGCTCTGTCCCACCTGGCAGAGCACAGCTCGGTGCTTGCTCCTTGCCAAGCTCTTCTCCAGACCTTGCCCCCAGCTGACCCTCTGATCTTCAGTGCTCTCTGCTAAGCCTTTGTGCTCACATCCTACTCCCCTCTCCAGCCCTGGTTTTTTGTTGTTGTTTTTTGTTTGTTTGTTTGTTTGTTTTTGTTTTCCCTGAGCTTGCTCCAAACCCACCCTTGCCCCTTGCTCCAGACAGCCCTGAATTGCCCTGAACAAACCAACCTGGGCAGCTCCAGCCCTTTGAGCCCCTCCAGCAAATAGGTTTCTGCATCAGACCCTTTCCTTCAGTCATACCAGGTGTTCACCCTGTCCATACTCTGTCCATAACCAGGTGCTCCTGGTGGAGGTCTTGGAGGGACCCTTTGCTCCCAACCACCAGCTTTGCCCTTTCTGCCCCAGCCCCATAACAGTCACTTGGAGGTCTGGAGGAGGGGGCCAGGCGCTGCCGGAACCATCCACCCCACAGGCTTTAGGGGCAGAAGCAAGAGGCAGTGCTGCCACACTTGTTAGAAGCACAGGAAGGCCTCTGGGGGCATAAAGAGCATCCTACAGCATCTCCAACTCCCGGCTTCTAAATGCCAGCACATTTCTGTACCAACACAGCCTCCAGCAGGAGCCCTCCAGCTTCTGTGCAAGGAGCAGCCGTCTTTGCCGAACCCACACAGCCATTAAAAGATGCTCTACTCCATGCCCACCACCATCTGCATCTGCTCTGATAACTCCCAGCAGGAGCCCGTGACAGGGGGAGGGGGGATGCAGCAGGTCCCCAGCCGGCACGGGAGGTGACCTGAAATGTCTTTTTACACCACTGTAAAAACAAGCCATTTCCACAGCCTCCCATGGGAAGGCAATGCGAGGGAACCAGCTTCGCTTGGAGCAGCACAGCCAAGGTCAGCTGCTCCATGTGTGCTGACAGGTGGCAACCTGATGGGCACCACAGCACAGACCAGTCCAGGACCTGGCTTCCTCACAGACGTCAGCCCCTTTTCTACACAATCCCAGGGGAAAAAAAAAAAAAAAGCCGCCTCCAACAAGGTCAAACAAGACAGCACTAAATTCAACCCCTTTTCACACCCCGATCACACCACAGACCAAAGCACAGAGGTCGCAAACAGATTTCACCCCAAACTGATGCTACCAGAGACCCCCCCAAAACCCTGAAGCAATTCCTATAAAAGTACCCAAACCGTCACTCTCCCCACTACACTCACCCAAGGTCTCCGGTCTTTACCCTTGAGAGGTCTTTGGGGGAGTGCGGGGGATGCTCATGCCGTGGCACCATGGACTGGACCAGCCGTGTCCTATTCCTGCCCCAAGACCCACATCTCCCAGCCCCATCACCTGGCAATACTGTCCCCATGCCCTGGTGGGTGACCCATCGGGTTAAGCCACACTCCGGAGGCAACACTCACATGTGCAGTGGTAAAACAACTGTCCCTGCACAGCCTCCCTCCCACCTCCCCGGGATCAGCTGCACCTCACCACAGGCTCCTCTCCCCCCTGCTGCTCAAATCATCCTGCTCTGCCTTCCCATTTAACCCGCTCGGGAACAGGGGAAAGGTGCTGCTGATCAGGGGGCTTCAAGATGGGTAAGTGGTATCGGCACCTGCATTCGCTTCCCCAAACACCTTAGGAAAAAGGGTCCGTGGTTCAGAAAAACCACAGATGCCCAGCTGCAGAGCAAGGTGCGGGCATCTCCCAGCTGGTGGCTGCGATGCCAATAGCCCAGCCCCCATTCTCCCCATAAAAAATAATAAATAATTAAAAAAAAAAAAACAAACAAAAAACATTTTTTCCAGCCCTGCACATGACATCAGACCATGCAACTTCTGGATCGGTGAGTCGGCTGAATAGCAATCACTTGACATAATCCCTCTGCTCTGCAGTCATGTAAGGGAACAAACCTACACAGCCAGCAGCCCCACTAAGATTTTCCACCCCGCACTGTATGGTCGCGGCAGGGTGACGAGCCAGGCACCTCAGGCCATTAATTATTCCTCGGCCATGAGAACACAAGCACGAGACATGGGGAGGGACACACTTACCGAAACTTTACAAAGACATTCCGAGTCCAAATGGTCATCTTTAAAGGCTCTACCTTTATTTTAAACATTGTGCCAGCTCCTCAGCCTGGCAGGGACAAAGGCAGCGGCTCTGAAATCAGCCCCAGCTGAGGGGATGTGGGTGCCAGTGAGCTGTCCTTTGGAGGCTTTGGGCTTCCTCCCTGCCAGCACAGGAGCCCATCCACGAAGTCGCTTGACAGGCAGCAACTTTCCTCTAGGTGGTTTCTTGCTGCTTTCCTGAGCTAAGAGGCACGGGGTGGGTGCACGGACCCGTGTGGCATACTCAGATTCCCGGCTTCCAAATTAAAGCATTTATTTCCACAGCTGGCTCAGGCATCCTCCCCACTCCCCAGACTGCTGCTGCAGTGGGGCACCCACCCTCAGTCCCCTGTTACCTTAACAGCCCCAACACAGCTGCCTCCCACCCCCCCAGAAGCGGCGAGAACAAGGGACCCAGTGTCCCTGGCAATTAATCACTCACTCCCGATGTCAGTCACAGTGGGGCCACATAGCACATGAGAGAGGGGGAAAAAATAGGACAGCGCTGATGCACCATGAGGCAGAAAAAAGTAACAGACTGCTTTGCACCGGCCCTCTGGGGGTCCCCATGCATGTCCCCCCCTTCCCTGGGTGCTGACACTACTCCCTGTGCTAGAGCAGGAGGGGTCCGGCAGCCACGGTCCCACCATTGCAGCTCCGACCTCCCCTCCCAGTTCTCCCATCAGCACAAAACCTACTTCTGGAGAAGTCACCTTTATGCCAACGATGCCTCCTGCTGTGTGGCACCCCGGGACGTGCCAAGGGAATTCAAAGCCACCACATGTCCCCCCGATCCCCCAGCTCAACCACCAGCCCCAGCACAGAGAAACTTCAGGGCTGAGCATCCTCCGTCTGGACGCACAGCGCAGAGCATCCCACCCGAAAAATGACCCTTAGGGAGAAAACCCCAAGGGATGCAGGGTCTGTAAATGGAGGTGCTAAGGGGGTACCGTGTTGGAGCTGTGCTGGGTGCATACCTCTCCGCGCGGCTCCAGAAGAGCAGGATGGCCGGCATAGCAGTGCCAGGGTGGGCGAACCCCAAGTTCTGCTCAGGCAGCTTGAGGGGAACGCAGCGTGTTGGGGCAGGCAGTGCCACCCGTGCCGGCTGGCAGCCACAGGGAAGCAGCCAGCAATGTCATAAGTACACGCAATGAATCATCCCATCCCTGGGCCCCCACATGCACCGCCCACATCCCCCTTCTCCACTGCCAGCCCCCCCCTCCCCAAACCCTCCCCACTTGGGTGCCGGCACTTGTGTGGGGACAGGGTTAACCTGTAGTTCTTGGCTGCCAAGCACCCGCAGAAACTCCACCACCAACTCCACCGCCGGGGGCTGCATGAGGATGGGGTTAGACTTCTGTACCCCCCCAGAGTAGGGTCCCCCACTTTTAGCCCCATTGGAATGCGTGAGACTGCATGGGGATGGGGTAAGCCCCCCTCACTGAGCCCCCATTTCCAGCCCCACTGGGGCACCATCACCTATGTGAAAATGGGGTTAACCCCCCTGACTCCCCCCACACACAGGGTCCCTGATTCTTAGCCCCATAGGGGTGTATGCACTTGTACAGGGACGGGGTTCAGCCCCTTTGCTGGTTCCTTGTGTGGGGTCCCCACCTCCAGCCCCACTGGGTGCTGTGACCCACACGGGGACGGGGTCCAGCCCCCTCCCCGCACAGTGACCCGCTTACAGCCCCTGCGGGGAGCTATCACCTGCAGACCATTTACCAACCCCCCCATGGGGTGCTGTGACCCATGTGGGGATCATGTGCTCCCCAAGCCCCCTATGGGATGCTGTCACCTGCATGGGGACCAAGTCCCCCAAACTCCCCATGGGGTGCTGTGACTCCTGTGAGGACTTTGTCCCCCAAACCCCCTATGGGGTGCTGTCAACCTCGTGGGACCGGGGGGGATTTAACCCCTTCCTGCCCAACCGGCTGTCACTTCATTGGGGACAATGGTTTACCCTTTCCTTGCCACCCCACTCTGACACCACATGGAGGGAGTTAATCCTTTCCTCACCACCCTGTCCGGCCCCACGGGGGGTGGGGGTCACACGGGGTCGAATTAACCCCTTCCTCGCCGTGCAGGTTAACAGTTCGTATTAACCCTTGCCTCGCCGCCCTCTCCAGCCACCGGGGGGGGGGAGGGGGGGGTAACCTTTTTCCTCCCGCCCACCTGACTGCGATGCGATGCAAAATGGGGAGGTGGGCTGACCCTTTCCCCCCCTCCAAACGGGGGACATCCCGCGACCCCGGGGAATGTCACCCCCCCGCCCCCCCCGCGGGGCGTGGGGGCAGAAAGGGGGGGGGGGGGTGCGCGGTCCCGGCGGTGTAGATACAAGGTCTCAGCCTTGCCATCCCAGGGGTCGCCGCCACCGCCCCCCCTCCGCACTCACCGCTCCCGCCGGCGCCGCGCACGCACTGCCCTCCCTGCCCCCCCGCCCTCGTGACGTCAGGGGAGTCCCGCCCACACTGCCCCGGCGGAGAGGGAGGGGGCGATGGGGAGAGGGGGGAGCGCCCGCCCCGCCGCGCCCCCCCGTTGGGCCGGTACGATGCCCGTCGAGGCGAGACGCCACGCTCATTGGTTCTCCCCCGGGGAGGAGGAGGGGCGTGGAGGGAGGGTGGAGGCGGAGCGCCCCGCCTTCCATCTGCCGCCACTCATTGGGCGGTTCAAGCCGGCACTGCCCTGTCGGAGCGCTGTCATGGGGTGGAGGGCTTGAGGCGAGGCCCCGCCCCTCGCCGCCGGGCCCGGGTGGCTTTTTATAGCGGTAGGGTGCGGTGGGATCCCCTCGGGAAGCTTCTGGAAGGCGTGACGTCAGTGGGGCGCTGCACGGCGCCCCTCTCCTCTCAGCGGGTGGCAGCTGTGTTGGAGCTGGCGGAGCCACGTTGGGGCTGGGGTGTAGGGTACCTCTGTGTCCCCCCTTCTCAGCTGCTGAATGCCTGTGTGTGGGGACCAAGAGGTGGCTGCTGCTCATGTCATAGAATCATTAGGGTTGGAAAAGATCTCCAAAATCATCTGGTCCAACCATCACAACAATACTAATGTCACCCACCAAACCATTTCCCTAAGCACCACGTCCAACCTTTCCTTGAACACCTCCTGTGGGGCTTGTGGCATTTTCTGACTGTTCTCCTTAAGTTCTGCCTGCTCTGTGCAGGGAAAAGCACGTGTTTTGGGAAGCTGGAGTGGCTGTGGCTTCTTCCCATTTGGCCCAAGAGCGGTGTTCGGTTCATGTCCAGTAGCAGAGCACTGCCCACCTCCAAGGACAATGAACCCAATTTTGATCTACAAAGCCTCAGATGCTGAAGTTGAGAGCTGATGTGAGACACTGAGGCTGTTAGCATGGCATCTGTCATGGTTAAAGTGCTGCGCTTTTGCACCTTAACTGAAGAAGTATTTAAATGGACATTCCGGAATAATTTTTGGGGTGACAACCAGCCCTTCCCCTGGGGGTTCGTCACATCATTGGTCTCTCCGTTCCTGTTTTAGGGCTGGGGTCTCCAGCATGCTCTGCTGTCTCCTGGCAGGATGCCAGTAGCTGCCCAGGATCCTTTCCTCCCATGAGGTGTTTGTGGAGCATCTCTGAACTGGAAGAGTCAGTGTTTTCATTGTGCTCTCTGCACAGCATCTGAGTCATCACGATATTAAACCAGCACTTACTGTTATCTGTTATCTGTCTATCTTGCTGTCTATTTGTTCTGCTATCTGTGTACCCAGAGGGATTGCTGCTCTTGCTACAAAGGGCTCGTGCCACTCATCCAGTGCACTGTCAATGTCCTGGGCTTGCAAACTCTTTCTGTTCCCTTTCCCAGCCTTTCATCAGCAAAGGCATTGGAGGCCCTGGGGCAGAGCTGGCACTGACCGTATCTGTGTCCATGAATGACTGGTTTGGCATGCAGCTGCGTGGGCTGAAACAAGGGCTGCGAGAGCAAGTGCTTTGGCTCAGGAGCCCGCAGTGTGGGGGCTGGATGCAGCCTGTAGGCCACCAAAAACTAGGCAAGGGAAGGGTCAGCAGAGCTCCTGCTTCCCTCCCTGGGTGCTGCGCCTGACAGTGGCCGTCTTAAGCAAAACGGCTCTTCCTCCACAGCCTGTCTGCCAGCACATCCGGCACCCTTTTAAAGAAACGCTAGAAAAGTGCAGGGAAGGGTGACAGGAATAATTAAAGGTATGAAGCAGTTTCCATACAAGGAACAATTACATAAACTAGCTCTCTTCCATCTGGGGGAAGAGATGACTGAGGGAGGGATGACGGAGAATAATAAAATCATGTGTGGCTGGGGGAATGTGAGCAGGGAATGGCTGCTTAAGCTTTCTTCCCTTAAAGGGCTTGCAGGTGTCATGTGCTGAAATAGGCAGTGGCACCTCAGGGCATGAACATGCTTCTTGGTGCAATTTGGGATTAACATTTTGGAGCTGCTGGCCTTGGGGGAGTGGATGCTGGGAAGGTGTGATAAGCTTGTCTGGGATCAAAAAGTGATTAAGCAAATTCCTGAAGAGAAAATCCACTGTGGACTGGCAAGCACAGTGATGATGCTTCTGGCTCAGGAAATCCCCAGACTCTGGGCAGCTGGAGTGGGAGAGCATGTTTCAGGGATATTGTGCTCACCTCAGTCTTCAGCTCTTCCCAAGGCATTGGCTCTTGGTATTCATGACTGGGAGGCAGGGGAATGTGTAGGGCTGCTTTTCTGTTAAAACACATATTACATCATTACTTGGTGTTTGAAGGTCAGAGCAGCAGATGAGGCCACTGAGCTCTGCTAACTCCTGACCCACATTGTGACTGCCAAGTCCCCAGCTGCTGTCATACTGCTGTGAAGGAGACCTCTCCCCTGGCCCTACCATAGCCCCCGTGAGCTGGAGGTGTTTGTGGGGCACAGCTCAGCCTGCCCAGGGCACAGGGATCCCAGCATGGTTCAGCAGGTGGGCAGGAGCAAGGTGCTTGCCATTGCCATGACCCCAGTCCTGCTCGGGCTCCCCCGCTCCATGCAGCGCAGGGAAGTCTCTGTCTGGGTGAGCTCCAGAGATGCATCTGAGGACACCGGGCTTGGCAGCAGCATCAGGGTTTGTACTCTGTTCTCTGCAGCGAGAGCAACACCCACGTATTCAGTGCTGTCTCTTCTTCCTGCCTGCTCCCATCCTTGGAGATGCTGCCCTCCTTTTCTAGCACCCTGTGCTGCAGGATGAAGAAAGGGCTGCAAGAAAAATCCATACCCAAATAATAATGATGATGATGATGATGATGATGATAATAATAATAATAATAATAATTATTATTATTATTATTATTATTATTATTATTAACGTTAACGTTTAACATTAACATATTACTGCCCCCTTCCTCACTTTCTGGTGTCCTTGCTGTGGTTGCATCTCCAAGGTGGCGCTGGTGGGGCTCAGCCTTCCAGGTCGGGCTTGGGGGCAGCTCCTGCTTGCAAACTGACCATGGTCCTGAGGGCATGGGGACCTTGTTCCTCTGGACTCAGCCAGCTCCCTGCCTATCCCCAGAGGAAGCCACCCAGCAGGGGTGGCTCTGCCAACCCCTGTAACCCCAGCTGTGTCATGAGTCCCAGCATGAGGCAGGCTTGTGCCTGCTTGGCTCTGAGCACTGGGGCAATTCATGTAGGAAGGGTCTCCAGGAGGTCTCTAGCCCAAACCCCTGCTCAAAGCCTTGGAATCAGAGAGGATTGCTCAGGGCTTTATCCAGCCTGGTCTTGAAAACCTCTGAGGATGGCGACAGTGCTAGAAGATCCTTTTCCAGCAGCCTCTCCCATGTCCTTGTGGCACTGCATCTCATCAGAGCCTCCCCAGTCTCCTGAGGGCACACAGGAGGAAGGGGCTGAAAGCCGCTATTAGTGCTAATGATGATGTTTGATCTGTCCTCGTGCATCGGTGCTGAGGATGCCGGCTGCTGCCTCCCCCTGCCAGCACTGCCGGTGGCGGAGCCAGCCGCTCCACGCTGTGCACCCACGGGGGTGGCATAATGAGCCGTGTCCTCGGCTCAACCTGCTGCTTCCTCTCCCGGCAGTGTCTGTGCTGCCAGATGGGTTATTTTATTTTATTTTATTTTATTTTATTTTATTTTATTTTATTTTATTTTATTTTATTATTTAATTTCATTTCATTTTTCCCCCTTCCTGCCTCTATTCTCGAGTGGTTCCCAGCTGGTGCTGGCATCCGGCCCCTGCCAGACCTCTCTTCCCAGGCTGACTGCAGCAAGCCCCCCATGGTGAGCCCCTCAGGCTCCCATGTCAGACACATGGAGAAGATGCAAGTGGCTCTGCATGGGAGGACTTAGTCTCCTCTGGTGCCCACACCTGTGCCCAGACTCTGGTGGAGCAGCCAAAACCAGAGGGCAGAGCACGTGGGAGTGGGACGGGTAGGCAACAAGGGTAATGCTGCAGTGTTTTTGGGGGACCCCCAGCAGGGAGGCCAGCCTTGCTGAGGAGCCTGAATGGCATTGTACACCCCTGGAGACCCATCTGCACATGGGAAGCATGTGCTGATATTTGGCTTGTCTCCATTTCACCTGCCAGCTTTTGATTTGGTGCTTGCTCTGCTTTCCTCAGCAGAAGAGTGCTGTGGCATCTGGTGTTTTCTCCTGTGGATAGTTCCAAGTTAGTTTGTAACCACGGATGTTCCCAGCAGGGATGGGTTATGGCTGGAGGTGGTTAGTGTCAGAGCTAGACAAACTCTCCGCATCTACTGGGAGTGTGTCCCTCTCATGCTCTTCCTCTTGTGGATCTGTGGATCTAATCAGTAATTTCCAAAAGGAGCTGATTGTGCCAAGATCCTATTAGTTCATCAGGGCACAAAGTGGTGCCCAGTTGATTGCTGTAGGAAGCTTAATACCTCCGTGGTGTTACCAAAGTGTTACCTCTTAAAAAAAAAATGACCTGGGGGTTGGCTGCCAATGGCAGTTTTCTGAAAGAACAGGTTGGCTTGCTTTTATTTTATTCTTGTCTTCATTGCTTCCCAAACTATCTTCCCTGTGACTGCCCCAGCCCGATGGCAGGTGGCTGCTCAGAGATCATTGTGGGATGCAGGTGATGTGCTGGGGACAGAGACTCAGCAGTCCTTGGAGTTTTCAGGGTGTCTTTGGAGCTTTCTGCTTAATCTGGTCTCCCTGAGTGATCACCACCATGGTATCTGGGCATGTTCTCCCTGTCCTGCCTGACAGATGCCTCTAGCTCTAGCGGGTGCTTGGCACATGGGTTTTTGCTGGATGTGTTGCCTGCTCCTCAGGGAAAAGGACTTGGATTTGCCTAGGCTGCCTCAAAGGCATCCAACAACCTGCTGTGTGGAGGCTTTACAGATCCGTACAGCTGTGGGGCCACATCTGGAGCATG